AAGTGACTGAGAGTGGTTTATATACAGATTTTAAACAAGGGCAACTTTGACATTTTCTATTTCGTCTCTTAACCTTCCCCTTTCTTCCTGCTTGAAATGTAGACATAATAGCTAGAAGTAAAGCAGTTACCTTGAGACAATGAGGATGAAAACAACACACCAAAAATAGCAAAGAGAAAGATAAAAGGATTTTGAATCTTTGAAGACATTAAACTGCCATTTTAGTCCTGAATTATATAGTCTTGGATTTCTTACACAATAAAAGTCCTTCTTAGAGAAATCGTTGATCACAGGGTTGTTCTTTGCAATGAAGTATGTTCCAAGAGTAACCCCAATTATTTAATAATCTTTGTATACAAATTTGACACACTGCCTTTATCAAATACCAGCTTCACATATATAATTCAGAATGCTTGGAAACCCATTTCATTGATCTAAGTGATTTCAGTTTAAAAGCTAGCAGCTAATGCTTACTCTGAATACCAGGACGATGCTATGTGCTTTATGTTAACTGGATCAACCATTACAACAGCTCTTTGAACCTTAATATTTAGTACTTACAAACCTAAAATAGTAGATTTTACAAGGTGGAATAGAAAGAATTAAAAAGGAAAGATGTATAAATTATCTACATGATGGACTATGGTGGAAGGCAATTACTTACGTTACTATTCAACTCACAACACTGCTGTTCCAAGTTGGAATGGAATAAGCCCTAGACATTTACGAAAACTTACGCTCTTATTCAACTCCATACGTCAACATGTTACTTTACACAATCCTCCCTTAGGCCTTAATTTTTCCATCTGTACAATGAAGTTTGATTACGCTGATTAGATGATCTCTCAGGTTTTGTCTAACTTTAACACTCCAAGAGAAAACTAATTTATTCAAAAAAAAAGGATTGGGGCCACACTGACAAACATATCCTTGCCCCAAAGGAGCTTGTGTTGCAGTGAAAGAATAAAACAACAAAAGCCCTCCACATTTAGTGTTTTTATTACTATGCTAAGGATAAACAACGTTATATACTGGAGATTAAATGGGCATATAGTTGGACAGTTAGCGGGCTCGGGGAAGGGTTCTCTGAAGAGGTGGTTATAAATCTTATATAAAATGAAAAGATGGCTATGGCACAGTAATGCACAAAGTAAGATGCAAAGTGGAAATTTAACTATATTAAATGTGCAACCTGTTTAAAAACAATTTAAAAATGTTAATGTTGCAAAGTCACATACATACAAAAAAGTACATGAAAGATAAAGCTTAATGAATTATTAAAAACCAAATAGCCATGAAAAAAGTGCTCCTCGTGACTCCAAATAAAACCCTGCCCCCTTCCTGCTTATCCCTAAGATTTCAATTTAAGCATTATTGCCTCAGGGAAGGCTTTTCTCATCTAATTCCTCCATTTACTTAATTATTAACACCACATGCTTTTGGGGGGTTGCAATTGTTTTACAAACTTACGTAATTAACTGACAAAACTCCTCAATAATACTGGTTCAAGATTAGGGAGTGCATGTGCAGGATGCAGTACTACGGAATACCTGAATCTAGCACAGTACCTGATGCATACAAAAGAGTCAATAAATACTTGATAAATATCTATTCTCTTTCTCAATCAGGGAATCCAATTGAACGCTGTTTCTTCTGAATGTTTCATTCTTGGGGCCATGTTTCCTTTGAAAATAAATTTGTACTAAGCAAAAAAGATCTTCCTAAGTCTCATTTGGCAAAGAAGATTGAATATGAGAACTAAGCACCTAGGGCCATCACTATGAACAATAGTATTTTTACTGTCTTCTGTGAAGAGACAACAATTCTCATAGAGTGTCATTGTATAGGATTACAAAACCTAATGGGTTGTTTCATTATCAAATGGTGCTTACTATTTAATAGTAAATAAAGTAATACTTTACCTAGTAACTAATTCAACAAAAGTGGGATCATTACAAAACTTAGCAAAAACATAATTTCAATTATTTATCAACAAGTGTTTATTATATGAATAGAAGCAATCCAATCCATTTTAATTTTTTTCTCTTTATCACCAGATGACAAATTTCTCTCAGTCAGACAAATTTCTCAATTCTGTGTAATTCCACTTAATCCTGTGTAAATACTCTGGTAAGTTTTATTTGCCTGTTTGCTTTTTAATAAAAATTGCTCAGTGCCAACTGTTAAAGAAAAAGCAAGGCTTTAGTTCTTAATAAACCTAATTATATTACAAGTGCTAACAAAATTATTTTAAGTAGGAGTGCTTACTCCCAACTGTATTAACTCCATATGCTCTAAAAATTAAAAATATTTTATAGCTATTTTTTTCATGTTGATACCTAAAAGTTTCAGTGATTACATTAGTGTATCAGTGAACTGTTCAGATGGATGCTGAAGGAACTTTTTTTCAAGCACTTGAAAACTATCTTCAAAGTAAAAGCTTGTGGATATCTTGCTAAAAACTGGGAAAGCTGGAACCACAGTAACCACCAATACAAAATGTAAAGTAGGGACTTACTTCCAAATTGTGCCCTCCAAATGAATCAAATTTTACTCCCAATATATCAAAAGAATGTCAAATGATAAACTTATCTGTTTTACATTTCTATAGGGAAATTAAAATGTAGTACAAAGTAAGATGAAATAAAAGGGTTCACTGAAACTAAGAAACGATAAAACACTACTACCTTATTATGTGACTATCAGAGCACAGAATTGCTGAGGGTGATTTTCAGTTCTATTAAGACATAATTCAGTTTGCCATGGAAAGAATTTTATTAACACAAGCCTAAATCCAGGTCTTTTTAACACATCGGGATACTTAATGGTTTGCCATAAGGTAAACTCAAAATGTTCATCTACCACTAAAATATCTGTATGGAAGTATTTTAAAATTAGATGTGTCACAATTCCCTAAAGCCTAAAACTGGCTAAAATACACTAATAAAAATGTAAAATATAAATAGCAATTATCTTACAGATTTTTTTTAAAGATTTATTTATTTATGCACACAAGAACTGGGATACAGGCCAGAGGAATGGAGGTGAGGGGGTTCATCAGAGATAGAGTGGGGAACAGAACAGACAGATTAACTGAAATACACTGCTGAGGGGAGCAGCAGGCGAGTCAGGAGAGATCTGCTGTGCCATGTGGGTAGCTCCCTGGCCGGGGATTGAACTCATGCTGCAATGGCTGCAGATAGCTTCATAGGTTGCATCTTAACACCTTGTGCCACCAGGAAGGCCCACAACTTGTAACATTTAAAACATAACCAGAAGAGACAATCTGACTAGGAATGCTTGAAAAATACCAATGAATTATCACTAGGATAGAAATCATGATTTAAAATCAATGACTCAAGAAACGTTACACAAAAATTCAAAGAAAAGATATTTTATAGTCAGCTTACCATTATCATCTTTAACAGATCTGTATCTTGTACACACTTATTAATCAAGTTTTCTAAATGACAATCTATTTAACTACTTTGCTCATTAGCACATGAAATGCTGGCTAAGCTTAATTATAAATTGTATTTATAAAAACTCTAAAAACAGCAATTCCCAGGATTAAATGTTATTTTTAAATACCCTTTTAGGACACAAATATCTCACATTATTTTACATCATTGGAAATAAACATGATTGGGCCTCTGGTGGCGCAAGGGTTTAAGCATAGCACTGTGAAGCTAGCTGCAGCCACTGCATCATGAGTTCTATCCCTGACGAGGGAGATACCCACATGGCACAGCAGACCTCTCCTGTCTTGCCCAATGCTCCCCTAAGCAGTGTATTTCAGTCAGTCTGCCTGTTCTGATTCCCACTCTGTCTCTGGTGAATCCTCTCACCCTAACCCTAACCCTGGCCTGTACCCCAGTTCTGGCATGCATACATAAATCTTTAAAAAAAAAAAAAAAGAAATAAAAGTGATCCATATAAGCAAATTTTTCATTTGTCTTAAAGAAATGACAGCTTATATCACGCTATTGCCTCTGAGGCCGGAATTTGATCCTGCCCAAGTCGCTAACCCACATATGGCACAGCAGACCTTTCCTGTCTTACCTGCTGCTCCCCTTAGCAATGTATTTCAGTAAATATGCCTGTTATGCTCCCCACTCTGTCTCTGGTGAATCCTCTTATTCCCTGCACTTCTGGCCTATACCCCAGTTCTTGTATGCATAAATAAATAAAAATTAATCTTTAAAAAAAAAAAAGAAGAAATGACAGCTTAAAAAAGTTGAACCATGTTTTGATTGAGTTTGTCCTAAAACATCTCGACTTGCTTAGTAAAATTCTACCCCCTAGTACTAATCTCCAAGTTTTGGGGGACGATTCCTGGGTCAATACTATGAATATCGAATCTAATAATGCATAGTAATGAAATATTGACCTCAGGTACCCCTGACATGTCACAAGTGTTTATTTTACAGCTGTTACTTTAATAGTTATAGACACTTCCTATTTCATATTATTTTAGGTTTTAGAAGTTTGATTCATCTGGTGTTTCTAATCTATCCTCCTACAGCAGCATATGTAGTTTTCCACATTTTCCTGGCTCAAAAGTAGTTCTATACTCCTGCTGTTTAAGGTTTTTCTCTCTTTTGGGGTAGAAAGGAAGAGAGGAAAAGAAGAGGGATTGCCCTGATACCTTGCCAATTTGTAGATCTGTTTCAGGTTGCTGGATATTTCCTGGTGGATGCCTGTGTTATCATATTGTAGACAATAGTTAAATTAACTCTTTCAGTTGAGATCAAAGAAGAATAACAAAATAATTTGCTAATTAATAGTTAAAAGGCATTTGCTATTTTATAGACATTTTTTCTACTTTACAAAGCAATACTTATTATAGCTAAATCTAGTGTCTGAAATTATTTGCAACAAGAATTTCACTAATTAAAATTTCTTAATATTTCCCTTAGCAAATATTTGCGTATTTGTTAGAGTACCACATAAGTGTTATAATATCAAGTAATACAGAACAAGATATTATAAAACAAACACACAGCTGGGAAGCATTTTATTTTTTTTCTACTTCATGTAACATTGTTCAGGACCACAAAATTTTTAGAGGTCTTTTCCAGCAACTTTTATGATTTAGGGAGTACCACTTAATAATATTTAATGATGCTATAAATAATATAATTTTTCTACATATTGACAATTTTAATGAATGCCGCATCCATTTATATACCTCTTGCTCCTTTAGCCAGAAAGATTAAACAGAAACTTCAGATCAGATGTTGAGACATTCAAAAATAGTTTTAAAAGCACACCCAAGCAAATCAAATCTGTATCAGCAACTATTAAAATTAGTTTTAGTAGTTAATTATTAAGAATTCTTAACAAGGACATACTGAAGCATGTATGAGATTTAAAAAATTATATACAATTTTAAAACAAATTTAAATTTATAAATAAAAAGATTAATGGCCAAATTAAAGAAAGTTCAAACATTAGATTTAAAATATCTTAATTTTTAGGCTAGTCAGAAATATATTTTGTGAATAAGAATTATTTCATAAATATATATGTATAAATATAAATATATATCTACAGGATCTGCAATGCAGGAGAAAACCCATTAAAGAAAAAAATTGCACTTTTAGATTATCAGGATGTTTTGTCATATTTACTCTTCAAGTGAAATATATTACCACACCAGGTGCTTTTGGCACACGTCTTTAGGTGAATATTGACACAATCTTAAAAACACAATGTTTTTATATTTTATTCACTGGAATATGAAGAATCAAACAGAATTTTGAATTCTGACCAAAAAAAAAAAAAAATCCAGGTAACTGCAATTACTTAATTACATACAAAAAATATTGTTTTAAAAAGACCTTAAACCAGTTTTACATCTGGAACATGTAAATTTTACCAGCAACAGTTTTTGTTCAGTCCCCTCAGCTAGAATTCCCAGCCTACACACAAATTTAACATTGTCTTTTTCTACTCTTCGATCACTTAGATCAAACTCCAGTATATAAGGACAAAAAATAAATGTATAATAAAAAGATTGGATAAATCAGGAGAGGCTTTTTGGTCTTGAATTCTTCACCCACTAACAATGAAGCAGCACTGTACGCAGCCCAAAATACACCAAACAGCTTTAAAAAACAAACAAGAGACAAAAGGTAGCACATTAGCAAATCAATTAACATTTTGGGTACCACAAAGTAAAAAGAAGGTTCACAGTATTATTTTTAATATAATCCTGATTCCAATTGTGGTAAACAGTAAAACTGACTGAGAATGACTTTTGCAAATAGGGTCTTTTGTTATCAAACTTGTCTAATTGTAAGAATCACATGTAAAAAGAGACTCATGGGATTCACCTTAATTTAAAATCTCTAAGAGATGAGTCTAGTTATCAGACTTTTTAACAAGTATTCCTAGTGATTTCAGATTAGGCAACTTTTGGTAAAACTATTACTGGGTCAAATTTCTGAAAGAAATATGATTGCTGAAAGATAACTAATGGACTTGTTACAATGCAGAATTTTTTCCTTCAAAGAAGGAGATATACAGATTAAATAAAATGTGCCACACAATGTTTAGAAAATATCACAGCATTTTCTCAGGCACAGGTAGAAATATAGGTTTAAATAAAAAGAAAGAAAAAAGTGAATTTTGGTCAAGAGTTTAATCAAAAAAATATACTATGGCTTTCTGATTATACACATACCTAACTGTAAATTATTTTCATTGCAAATTTAGGTAGGATTTATTGATGTAATTACTGAAGGAATTTTACAGAAGATAAAAGAAAAAATTTCAACGGTAGAAATCAAGGAAACTGACAAAAACAGGCTTGGCATGGGGAAGCTGTACTATGGCACTCTAGGATTTTAGTAGTAACCCTGTCCACTACCCATTATGTACTCATAACATTTCACCTCCCTTATTTGTGACACTGAAAAATGTTTCCAGACATTACCAAACATCCTCAGGAGACAAAAGCATCCTGAGACCCACTAGTAGAGAGGTAAAAAAACAAATACTAGCAGACTGAAAATGTTTTTGAGATGGTCCCACTCTCTATGGGGCTTTTACACTAAAAAACAAAAACCTACAAACTATTTTAAATCTACAGAAAATAAAGGGAAATATATGAAATAAAAAATACTCAAATTGCATTTGTATGTCATGATTAAATTTTCTGTTGCAAACAAATGGTTGAAGGATTGAGTTATAGACTTAATGTTAATAAACAATTAGTGCCTGTAGATTAAAGTCTATTCTAATGCTGTAGTTAAACAATAACAGCTTTTTGACATTTCTTGATAAATCTTGAATTGAAATATGAAACACATACAATAGCTCACTCTACAGAGAAGATTAAGTGAATAGGAGAAAAATTTTGGCAAAGAAAAATCTGAAGTTTTAAAATAACTTTTTTCCTAAATTTTAAATGATAATTTTCCATTTCATAATAATACACTAATATTCTGCATAAAGAATATAAAGAAAATCATGAGAGGACACAGTTTTAGCCATTCTGGGACTAGTTTCAGAAGTATACAAACAGGTTTTACCCTAAGTAAAAGAATACACATGCAGTAAGTGATCCTAAATAATTCCGTAAAGTGGTATTTTCATTAAAGCTAGGTTTTTAAATGCCACCATGAGATTAGCTCCTACACTGCAGGACTTTAAAAGTAAATGCTAATAATGCCAAGGTTTTAGGAAAAGATTTTTTTTACAATATTTGTAATACAATTATCACCCGAATGCCTACTCTATGCAAAGCACTGTCCTAGGCAATTTACACTTGATCTTAGCCAAAAGGTAGAGAAGCGATATCCTAGGCATTTTATATATATAAAGTGCCTTCCCCTCCAAATGTTTAAAATTTACTATGACAGATTTTGATGGGATAGTGGGCTTCAATGTTTACTAATAACATGGTTGAACATTATTGAAATTGTTTGCCAAAATATCATCTATCGCCAAAAGTTTTTTTTTTCTTTTTAAGATTTATTTATTTATGCATACAAGAGCTGGGGTACAGGCCAGAAATGCGGGGAGGAGGGTGGTGGTGAGAGGATCACCAGAGACAGAGTGAGGAACAGAACTGGCAGACTGACTGAAACACATTGCTGAGGGGAGTAGCAGGCAAGACAGCAGAGTTCTGCTTCGCCATGTGGGTTGCTCCCTGGCCAGCCGGGGGTCAAACTCTAGCTGCAGAGGCTGCGGGACTGCCTCATAGTATGGTGCTTACCCCCCTGTGCCACCAGGGAGGCCCGATTGCCAAAAGTTTTAATTACATAAAATAATCATCCATTAGCTAGCTTCTATGTCACAAATCCCTTCAAAGAATACATGATTCTTAGTATTATATATACTTAATCTGCGTAAGAAATCCTAAAAATTAAGGTTCCCCTTCTGCAGAGGAGAAAACTGGGTGTAAGAAAAGTTATCTTCTCACAGCAGACATTAAGTGGCCAAACCAGGATTTGAATTCAAAACTGACTGGTTTTGAGATTCATACTCTTTTTAGCTGGCAGTTACCCAATTCTTTTTTTTTTTTTAAACCCTCGCCGCCTGGCGGCCAGGGATCAAACCGGCGCTGCAGAGGCTGCAGGCAGCTTTGCAACCCAGCGCTCAACTGTTGCACCACCGGGGAGGCCCCTGGTAGTTACCCAATTCTAAAAGAAATCATTTATCCTGAAATTAGTAATGAACTTTAAATAAATCCATCTCTCATAAAAATTAAGGGACTCTTGCTACTTAACTTTAAGTGTGAAGGCCCGATAATGGCAATTTTGAAAGTGTTGGTATTAAAAAGGTTTTAAAAGTTCAATTTTCCATAAAGAAAAAAAAAATTCCACTGTGCAGTATATAACACATGTGCTTAAGCAGTCATTTATTTCCTAAAGTTGTTCAAAATTAAAAAATGCCAAAATTTAAGTTATATTACTGTTTATTAAAACCTAATACTATCAGGGCCTCCCTGGTGGCGCAGGGGGTTGAGCACTGCGCTGTGAAGCTGTCCGCAGCCTCTGCAGCACCGGTTTGATCCCAGTTCAATTCCTGCTGGCCTTGGAGCAACCCACATGGAGAGCAGACCTCTCCTATCTCGCCCGCTGCTCCCCTCAGCAGTGTATTTCAGTCAGTCTGCCTGTTCTGTTCCCCCTCTGTCTCTGGTGAATCCTCTCACCCTCCTGCGCATCTGGCCTGTACCCTGGTTCTTGTATAAATAAAATAAAATCTTAAAAAAAACAAACAACTTAATACTATCAGTAAATATTTAAAATGAGTATGTTAATGTAAATTAACATAACAAAGTTTTGATCTCTGCAACAGAGAAAAGCCTATTTATCAGAACCAAGTCTATCATATTTGATAAGGAAGTTACTATTCAAATAGTGACAATTATTAAATAAATATCCAGTGGAACTTTAAATAACTAACTCCCACAAAATCTAAGTTAGATGAACTTGTATTATAAACAAAGAAGAAAAATTCAACATTGAAAGCATTTTCTGAGTTTAACATCCTTAGGCCTGATTTGCTTTGTTCTTTATTACCCACTAGACATACATTATAATTTGTCACAATTAAAAGGGGAAAATAAAAGAAATATAACTGGAAAAATCAGTGAATAAGGTAACTAATACAAAAAATTATGAATCGTTTAATAAACTTCTATAGATTACAATATTCTTAGTCAAAGAACTTATAAATTTGCTATTGGAAAACAATAAACTATGTTTTATAATACACTTTTATAATACTTACTTTTATAAGTGTAGATACCACTTCAAATGATCCAACCACCAAAAGTATAGGTGCTATTACAATGAGAGGAAGTAACGAGTATCCTATAACGCCCAGAACTTGGCCATATGCAACCTGTGAATTTTTAAAGTTTTAAATAAAAATCATAAAATCAGACACTAATTTTAATCACTATTGATTAAATCACTATTGATCATATATTCTTTGTTGTACTTACATAAATATGCAAACTAAGAAGAATGAATAAAGTTCACATACATGGTATTTCAAATGATCATTTAGCCTATTCTCCTTACAACCAATTTTGAGTTTCAATTACTGTCAATTTTCTTATAACACCTAAGTTGTATTCCCAGTCCTCCTCTCTCGAGGGTCAGATTTATATATCCAATTACCTTTAGTATATCTCTACAGTATGTTGTCACTACTTCCTTAAATTGCAGGAGGATTGCTTTAGACCCCAACCATTTACTTAGATGGAAAGTCTAAGGTCTAGAGAAACTAGATGGTACAACTGGCAAATAGAAGGGAAGGTAAAGCAGGTAGGAGAGACTGAAGAGAGAAATATTTTTCAGTGGCTATTGTCTGTGAAGCTTTGTGACAGGCCTTTTATGTTGTAAAGACAAACAATAACCCTATGAAGTACAGGCATATCTCAGAGATATTGATAGTTTGGTTTCACACCCTGCAATAAATTGAACGTTGCAATAAAGCAAGCCACAAGAATTTGTGGTTTCCCAGTGCATATGAAAGTTATGTTTACACTAAACTGTAGTTGATTAAAGTGTACAACAGTATTATATCTAAAAAGACATTGTATGTATCTTAACTAAATAAAATTTACTGTTGAAAAAAAATGTTAAATATCATCTGAGCCTTCATAAAATCATAATCTTTTTGCTGGTGGAAAAAGAACGAAATGCTTATCTGCAAAGCTTAATAAAGCAAAACACAAAAAAACAAGGTATTACGCCTGTAGCTATTATTGCTCCCAACATGAAGAAACTGATTCTTAGATAAAAGTGCTTTGCTCAGGAGAGCAAAGCAGTTGATGACACTGTTCAAATTAAGATCTTGTCTCTCAACTCTTATATCTCTTAAATTGCCAAAATTAGTTAACATTATCTATTTTCACAAAAATATTACACAACGTTGTGTCTAGAATGTAAGAAATAATATATGTGAGTGGCCTCCTTGGTGGTTAAGTGTCCGCACTATCAAGCCATCACCAGCCACCTACTGCGGCCGGAGTTCAATGTGACATGAGTTCGATCCCCAGCCAGGGAGGTAACCCACATGGCACAGATGACCTCTCCTGTTGCACCCGCTGCTCCCCTCAGCAGTATATTTCAGTCAATCTGCCTGTTCTGCTCCCCACTCTGTCTCTGATGAATCCTCTCACCCTGCACCTCTGGCCTACACCCCAGTATTTGTATGCATAAATTAAAAAAAAATAATGTGAATAAATGTAATTTTAAGTCTTTATTAGAATTATGTTAAATAGCCATATGCAGAGTAAAAAGTTTCACAGATAAATGTTATTCTAAATTTACTTATGAGTTCTAGGTTAATATATATATATATATAATAGCACATATACCAGTATCATTCCCTCCCAAAACTCCATTTAAAGGGAAAAAAAGAAATTCCTTTTGATGAAGCATTAACCAGAAATAGAAAATGGGACAACAGCAACATAATTTTGGAAGCTAGAAAGCAGATTAACAAGAACTAAGTAATAGACTTGGCAGATCTCTTCACCAGGTGTGAGAAAAGGATTCACAGTTTCTGTGTTTAGCATTCAATGTTCATAGAGCCAGTACAAAGTCAACACCCACATCAAAATTCTACTTAGTGTCCTCTCTGTTTTACTCTCTCCACAGAATAACTGCTAGAATTTCTAGGTTTATAGTTATTCATAAAAAATCTTATTTAATGGAGCAGTGTTTCTCAAGGCATAGCAAATGATTCCCTGAAGTCTCAGAGACTCTTTCAGAAGATTAAGGATAAATACTATTATTTTTATAATAGTATTAAATATTATTTGCATTTTTCCAGTAGGATGATAGTGGTACTAATAAGGCAAAAGCAATGGTGGGTAAAATATGCTACTTTGGCAGGAAACGAGGTAGCACAAACTATATTAGTACACTCTGTTTTCTATTACACACTTACAGAAAAAGAAGGAAAAAAGCCAGTTTGACCAGCATAATGAAATAGATAACATAATTCTTTTATTAAACCTCAACTTCTGAGTTTGCTCTTTTAATATTATGTATAACAAAATGAGAAGTACACAGAAAGCACTTCTGCTGTATCCTGATTCAATGGTCATCCTAAGGAAGACCATTTGTGCATTTGAGTGAAGACATGAATTAGATGCTTTTTCCATAACACCATTTTTACTTGAAAGAACAACTCAAAGAGAAACTATGGTTATTTAGAATTGGGTATTGAAAGACATGTCCTAGAAAAGGAATGGAATGAGTGTATAGTTTCAAGAAAAACAACTGACAGCATTTGTTGCAAATGATAAAATTCTATCTTTCAAGCAAAATCAGAATTTTGGAAAACTTTTATCTATCAGTGTAAACCGATAGATTTTTCTGATGAGATGAGTGGTGATATTAATGAATGTGACCTTCTGATATTGTCAACATTTGGAAGGTGTGCAAAACTCAGTGAACCAATGTTTTCCAAGTCACCACACATGGTTAACAAGATTAAGCCAATGAGGGCCTTCCTGGTGGCCGAGGGGTTAAGTTTCACTGCTACCACCTTGAAGGCCTGTGTTCAATACCCAGCCAGGGAGATAACCCACATGGCGCAGCAGACCTCTCCTGTCTCATCTGCAGCTCCCCTTAGCAGTGGATTTTAGTAGATCTGCCTGTTCTTCTCCCTACTCTGTCTCTGGTGAATCCTCTTATCCCCCGCACCTCTGGCCTACACCCCAGTTCCTCTATACAAAAATAAATTAAAAAATCTTTTAAATATAAAAAATTCAGCCAATGAGAATTTTAATGGATCAGGGTGTGAAAAGTTCATTGATATGGCCTGAGATTCCTCACTGCAACAAACTTTTAAGAGACTATAACTTGGTGAGTGTGGGAAGAATATCCACAATCATCCAAAAAGGTTATTAAATACTGTTCCTTTTCAGTAACATATTTGTGCAAGGTCTTATTATTTTCATATACTACAACCAAAACAATATATCATAATAGACCAAATGCAGAAAGCAGACATTAGAGTTCAGCTTCCACTAAGTCAAACATTAAAACTACTTGCAAAAATGTAAAGTAAGGGCCTCCCCGGTGGTGCAGCAGTTGAGCGCTGGGCTGCAAAGCTGCCTGCAGCTTCTGCAGCGCTGGTTCGATCCCCCGTCGGCCAGGGAGGGTCCCACTTGGCACCCAGACCTCTCCTGCCGCGCCCACTGCTCCCCTCAGCAGTATATTTTGTCAGTCTTTCTGTTCTGTTCCCTGCTCTGGCTCTGGTGAATTCTCTCACCCTTCTGCGCTTCTGACTGTACCCAGTGCTTGTATATATAAATAAATAAAATCTTCAAATAAAAAAATGTAAAGTAATACTCTATTCATGAGCAAGAAGATGTGGTGTATATACACACACATACATACAATGGAGTGCGACTCAACAATCAAAAAAGATAAACTCATGCCATTTGTGGCAAAATGGATGGAGGTGGGAGAGATTAGCTAAGTAAAGTGAGAGGGAAAAAGAAAAATATCGGATGGTCTCACTTATGGGGGGAATATAGGGAAACCAAATAAAGGATCAGGAAAGACAAAACTCGCAGGCAAACCATAGATCTGAGGAATAAGGCAGGGAAGGAGCAGGGAGAAGGGTCAAAACAGGCTAGGGAAGAGCACAATGGAATATGGTGGTGGGAGAACTATGTAGACTACACATGAGGGAAAAAAATCAAATATTGTATAAAAATGAACAATGATGTAAAAAAAAAATCCTAAAAACAAACAAGTAAATAAGAGAATACCCAAGTTATGGGGAAAAAAAATACCATTTTATTTACTTTTTTGTTTTGAAAAATACTGCTATTATTCTTTAAAAAGCATTATTTATGTTAAAATGTATTTGGTTTCTTTTAGGTTTTAAAAGAATAACTATATACCTAACATTTTATTTATTTATTTATTGATTTATTTATTTACTTACACAAGAACCAGGGTACAGGACAGATGCGTGGGAGGGTGAGAGGATTCACCAGAGACAGAGCAGGGAACATAACAGGCAGACTGACGAAATACACTGCTGAGTGGAGCAGCGGACGCGACAGGAGAGGTCTGCTCACCATGTGGGACCCTTGCTGGCCGCCAGGGATCAAACCGGTGCTGCAGAGGCTGCGGACAGCTTCAAAACTCTGCGCTCAACTGCCTGCGCCACCAGGGGAGGCCCCTAACATTTTATTTTTAACTTTTAAAATGGTAAACACTGATAAATATAACCTTTAGAGAGAAATCTCTCTGGGGACCTGAGACCCAAAAGTTTGAGAAGTGCTGTAATGAAATAAACTGTCTGCTTTCCTAAAAAGCTCTGAATTACTGGTGAGTGGAGTGGGATCTTTGCATTACTTGTAACATTTATTGGGTACACATAATACTAGTATGTTGATCATCTTAAAGAAAGCAGCATTTTTTTAAAAAAATAGTAATAATGAAATATAGCTACTGATGGTGTCTGCGGCATCAAAAATAAAGCTTACAACAGAAAACGAAGTCTATTTTCAAAATTAACTACTTACTTCTCCGCCAAGAACTCTGGCCAGTAAGAAAATTGTTAGTGAACCAAATATCCAAATGGTTATAATCCATGAGACGACCTTAAGGAGATAGAATGCATTCAATTATTATCTTTGTGCCAAGTTAGTTGATAATTTCCTACAGAATGCAATTCTCTGCCTCATAAGATAGTTTGGTCTATATAGTTTCAGGTCAGCAAGAGTTTTGAGGGGTTCTCAGGTTTCCTTTCAAACCCTAAAAATAACACAAAATGTAATGCTGTTCTATATCCAAATTAAAAATGTAACAATGATCAATTGCCTAAAGGAATCTCAATACTTCAAGATCTTTGACAAAAAAGATTACTATAAAAGAGAACAAAGTGTTTACTTCCAATGCCCTTGCTAATAGCATCATACAAGCAAATCCATCCCTAAACAAGTTATCAATTTCTCAGGGGTTTTTTAATATTTACATTAATAATACCTTTATCTAAGTAATGGAATATGGGAGAATATGCATTCTAGACAATTTTAACTCCTGAGACTTAGTGCAACAATGCCACATTGATATATATCTCTAAGTTCTGTCTGCTCAGAGGGTCTAGAAAGAATGATACTCCAGTAGCAATATAGCACATTTAATTGTCCAGGACCCGGTTTCCAAATATTCCCCAATAAAAGAAACCAGCACTCATTAGAGAAATTTCAGGACTGGAGTAGGGAAACTAAAAGATGAACCTGGAACAACACTTTGTGGAGTCAGTGTGGCTGAAAGTTAAGGAATGTTTTCAGCTTCCAGAAGTGAGAAAAGGTAAACACGAAATTTTGCCCAATCCTGTTGACATTTTGATCTTAGCCCTTATGACTCATTTTGAATTTCTGACTTCCAGAACTGTAAAAGAATAACTATGCATTGTTTTTAAGCCACTAGTGGAAATTTATTACAGCAACAACAGGAAACTAACTCATTTCTAAATCACTCTGGTATGAAGAACTTTTTTTTTTACTTCTTTTAAGCCCTAAACTAAGGATGAGGGAGTTATGTATGTATGTTGTATTTTAATGATAAAAGACAAAATATACAAAAACAAACATTGATGGAATCTTTGTCATCATTTGGAAAGTAATAGTTCATGCCACCCCTAGATATTTAATTAAGGACAGCTCTAGGGATCAACAAGTGAGAATAAGTAAAAGTAAAGCATTTCTCAAACATAATATAGTAATAAACAGCTAATATTTTGTTATCTTTAATTTCAAGACCCTTAAAATATTCAGAATTGGTATGTACTTACCCTAAATTGTCCATATAACGAAATCATGGAAAAGAAAAGAACAACAGCCAGAGGACCCCAAAAGTCAGGATTGTCTCTCACCACTTGTCTATTAAAACCAAGTGATGGCATTGGCATCAAAACACATCGAATTTTGTAGTAAATATCCTTTAGATCGATATCCAATTCCTCCCTAAAATTTTAAAATAAAAATTCTTAAAAAGTAGACACTTCTGAATATTGATGACAGTTGAAACAGAATTTAAGTTTAAATATGACAACATAGTCCCCACAGGTCAACAAAACATTTACATTTGCTGGACTGTATCTCACTGATTCAATGGTGTTCATTTCCAACATCTCTAAAGTTGGGATGCATAACACAATTACTGTTGTTTAACAATTGTTGTCAGCCTGGTGTTAAAACCAAGTGCTTTTGGGCCTCCCTGGTAGCGCAGGGGTTAAAGTCTCAGCACTACCTATCAAGTGATCTCCAGCCACAGTGGCATGAGTTTGATCGCTGGCCAGGGAGCTAACCCACATGGGCAGCAGATCTCTCCTGTCTTGCCTGCTGTTCCCCTCAGCAGTGTATTTCAATCAGTCTACCTGTTCTGCTCCCCACTCTGTGGTGAATCCTCTCACCACCCTCCCCCAAAACCTCTGGCCTACACCCCAGTTCTTGTATGCATAAATAAATAAAAATAAATCTTTAACAACACACACACACAAAAAAACCCTACTGCTTTTAAGAATTGCGTTTCCTTTTCCCTGAAAGTATTACTGATTTGGGACAACTTTAAATAAATTTCTCTTCTCATGTAACCCCATATGTGAAACTATGGGGTTTACAAATTATCTTTAGGAAATTTTTCTTCCAGTACCATCCAGTGTCAAATTGTGACAAGCAAACTTCCTTGTTGTCTGTTTTTGCATGGTAGGTTATTTTTCATTTATCTTTATACTAAGGAGGTATTTTGCTATCCTACTTTATGCTACCTGAGGTACTTTTTCTTTTTTATTCATAAATGCAAAATAATTATTCAATAATCAAATGTCTTAGTCTTGATGAAATATAGCACATTAACATTAGGAAACAGGGTTGTTTTAGCTCTTGGTCTACCAATAATTACTACAGAGAATTACTTGGTAATGCCTTGACTTTATATAAAGATAGAGGTTCTTCTTTCCAGAATTGTTAAATTCTTTGTCTTTTTTCCTCAAATAATACCTAGTCACTTAAAAATTTCAAGTTCTTTGATGAATGTGAAAGCGCCTCCCTGTATACAGCTAAAGCAAATTTTTTTTTTTAAGTATTTAGTTATGCTTATAAGAACTGGGGTGTAGACCAGAGGTGTGGGGGTGAGAGGATTCACCAGGGCCAGAGCGGGGAACAGAACAGGCAGACTGACTGAAATACACTGCTGAGGGGAGCAGCGGGCGATTCAGGAGAGGTCTGCTGAGCCATGTGGGTATTTCCCTGGCTGGCAGGGAATCGAACACAGGCTGCAGAGGCTGCGCACAGCTTCTTAGTGCTACGCATAACCCTCTGTGCCACGAGGGAGGCCCCAACCTTTTTATACTGAATTTCTATAGCAACAAGCTTTTTTTTTTTTTTTTTTTTTACCTTGATGGCATGTTTCCCTAGTTATAGACCAAGATCAGCCTTAAGAGTTTGGGCATATCTTTGTGTATAACTACGATATAGGATTACTGAATCTTTACATTTTTTACCATTCAACAGATTTAAAAAATTCTCTCATTTCAGTTTCTTCTAATTACTTTTAAAATTGAAAATAGTGAAACTGGGGCCTCCGTGATGGCCTAGGGGTTAAGTCTTAGCACTATCACTGCTATGACCTGAGTTTGATCCGTAGCCAGGTAGTAACACATGTATGGCACAGCAGACCTCTCCTGTCTTGCCCATCACTCCCCTTAGCTGTGTATTTCAGCAAATCCGCCTGTTCTGCTTCCCACTCTGTCTCTGGTGAGTCTTCTCACCAACCCCCTCATCTCTGGACTACATCCCAGTTCTACGTAAAAAGAAAAAAAAAGTGAAAATGTTTGAATAAAAGGTTAAGATTTTCCATACAGGAATATAATCCCACATACTAGTTCTAAAAACTGCAAAAACACATATTATTATTTTTACATACAAGAGTGGCTTGTTATCTTCAGGATCATCATCTTCAACTTCCAAAAGCCAGCCATATCCTCTCTGTCTAAGAAATGTAGTAGCTGTAGATTCTTTGATAAAATCTCCACCAAGGTTTAATTTGACATCTGGGGATGCTATTGAGCCACTCAAATCTTAAGAGAAAAGATGAGAAAAACTGTAAATCAAGGTAAAATGTATGACTCTTAACCAACATGAGCAAATATTCAACTAAGAAAATAATCACAATAAAATTAAAGATTAGAGGTGAAGATACATGAAGTCTTCATAGCTAATTAGCTAGACTGATACCAGAATCTAGACTTGTAAAAATAACTTTAAAATTTACATGGGGAGGGCCTCCCCGGTAGCAAAGCGGTTGAGCGCTGGGTTGCAAGGCTGCCCGCAGCCTCTGCAGCACTGGTTCGATTTCCGGCTGCTCCCCGGCCACCGTAGGAGGGTCCCACTTGACGCACAGACCTCTCCTGCCACCCGCTGCACCCCTCAGCAGTGTACTTCGGTCCTTCTGCCTGCTCTGGTCCCCGCTCTGGCTCTGGTGAATTCTCTCACCCTCCCGCGCTTCTGACTGTACCCAGTGCTTGTATAAATGGATAAATAAATCTTTAAAAAAAAAATTTACATGGGGAAATACACAAACTATATTAATGATATCATTTTGGATTACCTTCCTTATGTACATTATGTGCTTCAGAAAAAAAAGTGCATAAAATTTTTAAAAGGAATTACATTTATATACACAAACCATTAGAGACAATTTATTTGTTTAAGGTAAATAACATAATTTTTCTCTACATTCTTATGTATTTATTCATACATTGTTTCATTTAAATAAAAAATGTATACTAAGTATTTTATATATTTATATCTGGATAAATTTGACTAGCAAGAGTTCACAACTGTTTCAGCTAACTATTTATATAATTATATAAAGTTCAACTTTAGTTTGGCAGAAATAAAGTTGTGTTTTGTTTATTTTTAAGGTCAGCTCTAAAACAGGGTGAAGAGATTCAGCTATCCACATTACAAAATTCCATTTATAATCTGCACAGCATAATCTTAAAGGTTACAGATAATCACATTAAGTACAAATGCCCGGCCTCCCCGGTGGCGCAGCGGTTGAGCGCTGGGTTGCGAAGCTGCCCGCGGCCTCTGCGGCGCCGGTTCGATCCCCGGTTGCTCCCCTGCCACCGGCGGAGGGTCCCACATGGCGCGCAGACCTGTCCTGCCGCCCGCTGCTCCCCTTAGCAGTGTACTTCGGTCCTTCTGCCTGCTCTGCTCCCCGTTCTGGCTCTGGTGAATTCTCTCACCCTCCCGTGCTTCTGACTGTACCCAGTGCTTGTATAAATAAATAAATAAAATAAATCTTTAAAAAAAAAAGTACAAATGCCACATTTTCTGGTCCCAAAAAACTGGGAGGGCCTCCCCTGGTGGCGCAGCAGTTGAGCACTGGGCTGTGAGGCTGCCCACAGCCTCTGTAGCACCAGTATGATCCCCGGCCACCTGCGAGGGTCCCACATGGCATGACAGACCTCTCCTGCCGCCCGCTGCTCCCCTCAGCAGTGTATTTCGTCAGTCTGCCTGTTCTGTTCCCCGCTCTGGTTCTGGTGAATTCTCGCACCCTCCAGAGTTTCTGACTGTAGCCAGTGCTTGCATAAACAAATAAACAAATCTTTAAAAAAAAAAAAAATTGGGAATAGTAAAGGACCCACTTGAAGTCATATGAGAATGGAGAAGAAAAAATACTTTAGCAGGCAGACAATATGTACTAGTAAACAACCATCAATGCTGTTAACTAGAAATCACAAGACTGGAGCGGCGTTTTAGAAAATAATTTTGGCAAAAGCAAATCAGAACACTTACACAGATTCTCCTTCCCTGGTGACAATAAAAAGTGTTTACTTTGCACATAACTCTAAATTCTAGGATAGGTATTGGCTTCAACTTCAATCATTAAATGGCACAGTTATGAGTCACATTGTGGTCTGTTATGACAGTTCCTACAATTAATTATAATGAAGTTTGCATTATGAAGCTATGGTTTAGCTTATCAACTGATTAATACAGCAAGTCTTAATGTATTATGGTTTCTAGTTTCCTATTACAAGTTCTTTTCAGATTTAACACTATATGATTCTAAAAAGTTTTTATAAGGAAGTTTTTTTAGCTGCACAAGTACTTTTTAATACACTGTCCTCCCTAAAGTTTAAAAATTTAGTCCCTTAGATATTAACTGTCTGGAATCTGTGGTTATTCTTTAGAATTTACATTCTGCTTCTCTGTCTTAATCTAAGTTGAAAATGAAAGAACTGAAATTTACCTAACATTCCATTTCCAATAAGTACAAGAGAATTTAATAAAAGGAAGGTTTTTAAATCAGGACATCACTAGCACAGCAGTGACAATAAAAGTCTTGCAATTATGAGGCAGGAAAGAACCTTAACAACTGTTTCCTGGTCTCTAAAAATGGAACTGCACTTATAGTGCTTAATCTAAACTAAAAAAGAATATGTAAATTATAGGCTAAGGAATGTAGTGACAAAGAATTTTATCAGTTTGTCGTATGACATGTCGAAATCTCAATAAGGCATCTTTAGCTTACAATTTCATATTTTCCATTCCATGCAAAGTAGGAAAATATCATGGACATACATATACATGCAGGAATTCCAGCAGAGTAGTTTGCTGTTACTCCCCCAGTACACCCAAGACACAATTTGGTGTAAGAAAAAACAAAAGAAAAGTAAAAAAACAACAATAAAAAACTGATAGCCTAACAGGTTAGCAAGTTAACAAGGATAGTGTTAGAGAACAAAGAGAAAGATTCTAAATCACTCCAGGAGTACTAGATTACTTAAATAAAACCAGAGTGAGAGCTGGCCAGCCTGACTTTCAACTCTAGATAGGTATCCAGAATTATAAAACACTACTTTAAAATTAATTCTTACTATACTGTGCATAATATTCTTGGTATATCCTAAGTAAAAAACCATAAAATTGATAATACACGTGGATTTAAGAGAAAATGATCTTTTGCCAAAATCTTTTGCACTGCTGTTTGAGTTCAGAGTGAAAAAGAGTATTAGGAAGTTTCAAGTTTTGCTGAAAGCCACACGGAAAAATTGCAGAACAAAATTTAGTAAGAGTAATTTTCCTCCCCTTTCAACTCAAAGGTATGCCTGATTGAGGGATCCTTTCTCTGAACTTTCTCCTCAGTTTGAGAACTTCACTTTGACAAATGAGGAAGCACCCCACGAATGTAGTACAGTAGTATACTAAGGATGAGTTTACTGATCTGCCCCCATGCAAGTTCTAGATTTCTGTGAAAGAATAGTATCATGCAAGGAACAATAAACTTGCTATAACTGTGAAGAAGCCTTTACTTTTTTAACAAGTAACAAAATCAAGGACAAAAATCCTATCATTTCATTTGAAAATAAAATCCTTGTGCGCTTATACCTAACCAGAATTGAGTACTTGTGCACCAAAACAAAGAAAGCATGTTTTACACTAAAGAGATAAAAAACAAAGAAAGCATGTTTTACACTAAAGAGATAAATTCCACTGTCCCATTTTAGGTGTACTGACATCTTAATGCATCTATAGGCCAATGAAGAGATCAAGAAACCAATTCACTTGCATAATGATCTTATAACTTCTACATCTACATTTGCACTTGGTAAGAGCTTATTTCGTTTAAAAAAAACTTCTAAAATTGTGTCTTGGATTATATTTTTATTCATATTGTTTCGGTTTGTGGTTTTAGTAACCTTACTATTCAATACTGTTAGTAAATTTTCTTTTTTTTTTTTTTTTTTTTTTTTTAAAGAAATCTTTTTTTTTTTTTTTTAATAGAGGCATGTTTGTTTGTTTATTTATTTATTTGTTTGTTTTTGTTTATACATGCACTGGGTACAGTCAGAAGCGCGGGAGGGTGAGAGAATTCACCAGAGCCAGAGTGGGGAGCAGAGCAGGCAGGCAGAAGGACCGAAGTACACTGCTGAGGGGAGCAGCGGGCGGCAGGAGAGGTCTGCGCGCCATGTGGGACCCTCCTCTGGTGGCCGGGGAGCAGCCGGGGATCGAACTGGCGCCTCAGAGGCTGCGGGCAGCTTCGCAACCCAGCGCTCAACCGCTGCGCCACCGGGGAGGCCCTGTTAGTAAATTTTCATAGTAAACACAGTATCAATTAAATCCCCATAGCCCACTTTTAGAAAAATTAAATCCTGTTTCTGGGGCCTCCCGGTGGCGCAAGGGGTTAAGTCTTAGTACTATGAAGCCACTGAAACAGGGGTTTGATCCCAGGCTAGGGAGCTGACCCACATGGTGCAGCAGATCGTTCCTATTTCGCCAGTTGCTACCCTCAGCAGTGTATTTCAGTAGATCCATCTGTTCTGCTCCCCACTCTGTCTCTGGTGAATCCTCTCACTCCCTGAACTTCTGGCCTACACCCCAGCTCTTGTATGCATAAATAAATAAAATAAATCTTAAAAAAATCAAATCCTGTTTTGGTATAAATCAGCTATATAACAAAAACCTTTTGTTTGTAAGTCAATGTTACTGCAATAAAAATAAATACAAACAAATTGTGGTATATATACTCAACTGAATACTATTCAGCTATTATAAAAGATGAAAGAGTGCCTTTAGGGACAATATGGAAGGATCTAGAGGTAATTACAGCAAGTGAAGTAATTCAGAAATGAAAGAAAACTACTGGATGGTTTTATTCATTTGTGGAATACAAATAACCAAGGAAAACAAACTGGTAAACAGAATAAAAATAACTTAAGACTGTGAAGACTATGGTGGTTACCAGAGGGGAGGAGGAGAGAGGATAGGTAGTAGAGAGGGGGTAAAAAACAGTGTAGTAGCAATGGAGCTTTGGTGAAGGGCAAGTGAAGCATGTGTACATGTTAAGGTATTGTTAGAAGCTGTACTCCCAAATTATGTCATTTATAAATGAAAGGCAAATCAATAAAATTTGATTTACAAATTAAAAAATAAAATAAAACGTATAAAAAAACTTAGGTTCCCTTTCTTTAAAAAGGTAAAACTTGCTAGTTACCTTTTTCTCCCCAAGAAAAGTTACCATCTTTTGAATAGTGAATAAAAACTATTCATTAGCATATTGTATAGA